CGGTGTAGTTTGGAGATAATTTCTGAGCATAAATCAACTTTACATCTTGTGCTCACCTATTCAACTCTCTGCACTTATTGTGTAAAATCATGCATTGTGTGTACGCCACGCCGTATTCATATTTGTTTTTCATGAATTAATTCGCTACATTCATTTCCTCGTCTAGTTTGTCACAAATTACAATTCAATTTTGTAAAGTACAGCAAAAAAAGTTTGGAATTTTCATTAGGCGTTTGACATCTTGGCAATGGACATGTGTATGTTCTTCTTCAAAACGAAACATTACTGTCGAAATTGTCGATGTCATTCTGTGTGTGACATAGTAATGAAACAAGTTTGTTAAGAGTGTGTTCATGTTTTTAAATTTGTCTTTGTCACTTTTTCATTTATTTACAAGGAATTTATGTACATACATGCGCAGTTTTACAACAGAATAGAACTTATTTAGCTCAGTCCGTTGTTTGTTGATAAAGTGGTGAATATGATGGGACTGGAGACTGTTGTTCTGGTCATGGGTCATTAAATGGTTTGCAAATTAATAGATTTATGCGGGCAGTTTCGTTGGTGGAAAGTCCAGGTTTAAGTTTAACAGAGAGAGTAATAAAGTTTGTGGGGAAAGCGTTTTACAGTCGGTCTAATACTTTCATCATAAAAGTAGAATAAAAGCACTGATTTGTGGACGGTAGCAGTCTGGTTAATTTGTATCATTCAATTTACATATGGCATTTTTTAGATTGAAATTAGTGGTATAATTGTAGTTGTAGTTATTAATTGTGTAAACATCAAAAAATCGGAATGAACGAACTGAGAAATGAAAGTAGCAGTTTGCATGCAACAACCCACCCAATCAATTAAATGTAGACGATATTCAATGAATAATATTATTAACTTGGGTTGAATTGGAATTGATAATTCGATTTCTGCATTGTGTTAAAAATCGCATCTGGCTCAAGGTCTGTAATTGTAATCCCAAGATTAATAAATTGTACGAAAACTTTGATAAATGGAATGTCGTTGACCAACCGGGATGATTTTTAAGTTTTCTTGTTAAACTACAAATACAAAGCAGAGTAATTCACAGAGCAAGAGCAATAAACATTATTGTTGTTGCAGTGGGATCATCTTCTTAACACAAAGCGAACATGTAACGCTTTTTAACTTATTCCACAGAAAATTGCAAAATGTTTTCGTGTTTGTGGTTTATTGGGATCAAGAGTCAACTCGGCTAATATTTATTGACCACATTTTAACAATTGTTCTGTTTTCCCTCTTTCACATTTCCCAATAAAATGTTGCCCAGAGTGCATATAATATTTTGCAAATAGTTGAAGAATCTCATACATAGATCTCCTCGATTTTTTCCCCTATTCCTGCTACGTGTCTATATTTCACATTTTCAGCGGAATAAACATTGCATTACTGTAGCGAGTAAATTTTAACTTTGATTAATTTTGGGGATGACAGGTAATTGATGAGGCGCTAAAATTTCAAGTATTCACGAAATGAAATATGATTTCACATCTCCACACGTAGCTACCTCAACTTGTCATTTTACTTATTATTTATTCCGAGCAGTTATTTTTTTAATTGGAAACCAGCAGTCGGTCAGTCGGTTGTATCATAACTCATTTCAACTTTTCAACTCCATAAATGTGGCCGTTTAGTGGTACTTCTGACTCTAACGAAGGAACTGCTGCTGCTCTTACTGCGAAAATAAAATATTGCACTTTGGAAAGCTGACCTGCTTCGATTTGTCTCTGGAAAGTTGAAGAAATTGTAAACCACTCCGTCGGCAGTAAATACCTCTGCATTCCATGTACGTAAAGCCCTCCTTCCTGTCGACACTTGCCACATAAATACTTCAAACTCACACATTTGCATCAGACCACAAAGTCTTATGCAACTCGTCTCGAGGTTAATTAAACAATTGCCGGCTAGACTTAAGAAATTCCTATATTTGTCGACGTAATGGGTAAATGCGTACGTATACAATTATGAATATGATATACGTCCATGTTTCATTTTGCACAAAAGATGCAACTTATTACAACTTATCGAAGAAGTAGCTGGCATAATAAGTTTGCCTTTTTTGTCCTCGTCTGCCGTTCATAAAAAACATCCATATTGATAGAGCCAGTAATTTATGACGACTTTATTTCCCATCCCCTTTTAAGTGCATGAAGCGTCAATAATCAGAACCTTATTGCTCAATTGTGGCAATATTCACAAATTGTCAGCTTCATTATCATATTCAATTTAATTATTTTCACATCCAGCAGACAACATTCATAATGATCGCAAATTTGTGTCACGTGGTCAGCAGTGATATTCAATACAAGCGATTGACAAATTGCTTCTTAATAAAAACTTTCTTCACAAAAGTTGGCTGCGTTTGCAAATTGGCATTAATAAATGATCAATTTATCAAAACTTGATGGACACTGACATTGAACGGATCTGAGATAGGCTATTACAACAGATAATTGAGAATCTATCTGCAATCTATGTACGATTGGTAAATAGCATCACGGACAGGAACGACATGAGATCAAAATACAATGTTTTGTCACCTCTCACTATGGGATAAAAGTGACATAAGTGTGTCCTTATCGATCAGTATGCTTGGTAAAATCCTGACTCGGAATTTTAAGAAATTTACTACAAAAGCAGTCATGTAATGTTTAAAAATCTGTTCACACTCGTGACTTATGTACGACTATTAATGTAATACTCCATCAGTCGATTGAATCTAATCCTAATCAGTGAATGCGATCACTTACCTTGAATTTTGTTTGATGGCTTGATTTTGCCAATAAAAAAATAAGCGATCAAATAAAATGTAATGCAAATTTAATCGGAACATCTAATCTCTGCATAAACTGACTCCAAAAAAAGTGCGTCAGTCCTTACTTATAAAATCATAATTGCGTCCTACTGACCATCCATGTCACTCATTTACCTTAACACAGAGACAAAGCAGTGAGTGTGTGTGTGTGTAATGTCCACTTTTTTCGATGGAGAAACAATCAAAGTTATCCTAATCATGTTTCCATCTACACAGCAATAAAAATGTAACCAAGTCGATTGAAATGATACAGAAATTCATTAAAGTGTGTACAGTACGTACATGTTTAGATTGTGCAGTAGCAGAATATTTCATGTACACACACAAAAAAAACTTAGGAAACCACTCCATTTGCATTTACAACGGGTCTGAACCCACGAAATTAACTAAGATTGGCGATCTGCTCATTAGTGGAGGTAATTGATGGTCGATAATTGATTATTGGTCGTGCTACTACGGAGGGAGTGACACATTCACACAGATCGTATCAAGATGGCTGATCATCAACTTGATGCGATTATCTCTTCCTCAGGAGTGTCCGGACGGTGACATTTGCCTTCTTTCTTTGTTGGATCGTCGTCGTGTAGACGATCCTTTTGTACATTGTGCTATGTATCTGATGAGACTCCGTCCCATCATCAACGGCGAACGAAAACCCTGCATGAATAGTTTATACTTCTTATCATTTCCTCCTTGCTCATCTATCTATGTGCATATTACGAACCACACACTCGCCCACATCACAGAGAACGAACAATGTGCACAGTTTACATATGCAAAATTATTCCCCAACCACAATTGTCGTGAAACATGTCGTGCCGGTTTATATTATATTTTATTCCATCCTATTAAACATTAAAAAGGACGATATCAAGGCAAAGGAGGAACGCATGTAATGTAACCATTTATCCAATTAGCAGCGCACATTGTATCACTTTACAAACGACACTTTAGTTTAATTTTTTATTGCATATTATTACTTTTCGTGCTCTTTAATGCTAACTGCTAATTTAATAGGAGGCATATGTATGTATGTACCTGCGTAATGTGTCTCATTTGCTAATATTTTCCTACGTAGGAAAAACAATCTATGCTGAATTGGATGGAATTATTTGTTAGATTTCTTATCGGTGATGAAGAGAAGAAATTTGTCCTTAAAAGGAATATTGAAATTGTGCTGACAACAATTTCTCATTTACGCATGAGTAAAATATGTCAATTTCCATCTAACTCAGTTCACCTCAAGGCTTGGCACTTTTAGAAAGATACACACACAAACTTGTGTCCATTCATACAGTCGAATATTATTATATAAAATTGCAAATATTGCAACACAATAGCCTTTTTCTGATTTAATTCTGAGCCTGAGATCAGCATTGTTGGAGAACTTCGAGACAAGGGTCGTCGTTTCCCATCCTTCACGATTTCCATATTGAAGATTCCTTCTTCCCATCTCATCATTCGTGACACGTTCGTTCCTCTCTTCTTCTATTTATAAACGTTAAATAAGAAAAAAGAAAAGCAAGGTCGTTCCATTGTGAAATGTGTTTTAGTGCAAGTGACAGACAGCTACATTACATTAAATTGCACTCAAGGCATAAAACAAACAATATTTGAATTTTTAGAATCATTGTTTGTCCTACGTGGCTGAGACGCTGCGATAAAAAGGGCGATAACGATACTAAGTAAATGTATATACATATTTCTGAGTGTGCACTTACGGGGTAACATGTCTCACTTCAAATCGAAAAAAAATCTGTAGCAAATAAATAAATAAAAAACTTTTGTAGGGAGTCAAGAAAAATTGGGGATTTCATTTTCCATCCAATAATTTCTACGCGTTGTAAAAGAATTGTAATTTCAGAGTCTTCTAAGACTTGTGCAATTGGATTTTTGTGAATACTCGCTACGCTGACGACTGGAAGGGATTATTCTTTGTCTTCCTATTTAAACTTTCTTCATTGACCTCATCCAGCATGGCAGGATTTCATTGCAGCCCCTCTTCTCGCACAATGGGCTGCTTGGTGACTGGAGCAGAATGAAGATGTTTGAAGAAGAAGAAGAAAGCAGCAACATAAAGAAGAAGAAGTCGAGACGAGAGATGAGAATGAAATGTTATAGTGATCTGCTCAACCATTGTAGTCGAGATTTTGGTCCAGCAGCAACAAGCAAAGGCAAATTCCTCAGTTTACTCTCACGACTTGTCGCATCACCAGAGAGTCGTCTCATCCTGCCTCTCAAACAGTTTCCTCGTGTTGACATTCCTTCGTCTGGTCAGTAATTGGATTCGATTTATTCGAAGGTGCTGTCCCATTCTTCCTACTTTTTTCTTTAGAGAGATTGACGTATCTACGGACGTGCTTGCCTACATTCCTCACACTTTTTGCATAGCGTGTCGAGAAGCGACGACCCGTCGGGGTGACGATGTTTGTTTTCAATTTCTAAAACAGCGACGGTGCTCAAGGTAAACAAAGTTTGTATGTTTTATACATACACGTGGAGAAGATGGAGACCGTGTTATAAAAACATTTCCAGAAATCGGGTCAAATTCCAAAGTTTCCAAAATATTGTGTCCATATTACAAAATCTAGTAGTAACGTTGGAAGTTGTTGATGGTGCAATTGTTCTCACTTAAAAATACATTTATTCCTCCTGTAAAAGGAAACGCAAAGCAAATTGGTTATGAGAGATGGCCACGAAAATGGATAGTTTCAAGAAATGTTGGTAATAATTTACGTGCCTGTTTACTCTGTGGTTTACACTTTTAAAATGTTTACAAAACAAAGTAATGCAACTCCATAAATTGCAATCTTGCATGGCTACAAGACGACCAAAGATGTTTACTTGACGTGGTTGTTGTGCTACACACTTTTTATTCTGAGTTCCTAAAATAGTTGGTGTCATTTGTAAGTAAGTAACTTTTTTTGTACTCTTTAACAGTTTGTTTTTATTTTTGCATGTCCAATTTCACCATAATATTTGTCACTTTGCCGTGTTATCTGGTCTGTGGTGATAAATCTTGTAATTGATAAGAAATAATGAAGAGTAATTAGACGTACTTGTGCGAAACGCCGTCCAAGCTAATAACTCACACACTTTAGCGAAATCAACGTTAATACGATTATTTGGGCATCTCGCCTCTTTTGGGACATTTACATTGTTTGCGTGCAACCTTCTTCGTCTTTTTGACATTTGACATGACACGAGACCAATTCAGTGTGACACGCCAACACCTCATGTTCAAAATAAAGGGAAGAAATTCTACAAAATTTGGTAAGATAAAACTTGACGAGAGATTTTGCATGTCCGTGGGCAAAGACGTAATTTTGTTTAACTTATAAAGTCTTAAATTGCCGTGGGACTGGGCTGGGCTATCTTTTGTTTCTCGTCTTACTTTTCAATTTGTCTTAATGAGTGAGTGACACGTACATGTGTAACGTTTACTCTCGATTCCTGGACAATTGTTTGCGTACAATATCTCTGACGGCATCTTTTGCACATAATAAATATTTGCAATAAGATTTTATTCGATTACATCTGCGGGGCATGCTTAAAGGAATAATTATCATAATTTTTTATACGGACGCACCGTTTAGTTGATCTTTGGTCTGTTTCTTCGTGACCACGCAAAACTCTTGGTTATACAACAAGTAAGATTTTTGGCGTTTGGCACGCAAGAGTAGGACGAAGTTTACATAGAAATTTAGGTAGTTGCCAAAAAGAACACGTTGAAAAAGTCAATCCAGATTCGATTGTGCGTAACTTAATTGGGCGCTTTGTACCCACTAATATGACAAGTCGAATGGTCGCATAAAAACTCGATTTTCTGTTCAACTTCATTCAACACAATTTGTCTTTGAGAGAGAGACTCACTCATTCAATTTGAATGTACATGCACATTTCGGCATGGCAAGCAAACTGGTCATCCCAAGTTGGTCCAATCCATTACAATTATGCACTACTCGCATGTTTTATTGAATGCTTTGCTCCATAACTCCTGCCAAATATGCCAATTATTTCATTAAAAGTGTGATGCAGTGGTATAATCCAAACTACAAATCAACGTGACTTAACTATTGATTCGGCATGAACATGGTGATTATTCCTAATTACTTATTATGCTCAGCACCATTTGTTTGTATGTGTACATGTAACTTGCTGCCTATGCACGGCCCGTGTTGGTGGTGGAACGAGAATCTGTATAACCATTTTTATTTCATTTTTGTGTGCCGTAATTGCATAACACATCATTGTGAAAACAAACATGTTTAATATCAACACGCTCGGATTTGCTTTTTCTTCTGTTTTCCACAACCTGCTGTTTGTTGTACGTAGAATCGTTTTGTCTTACACACACGTCGTTATTATTTTGGCAATTGTGTGCCTCGTTTTTTCATTGCTTTATTTCGCATTATTTCCAATATATTTAGGTAGCATAACGCATAATGGGAATCAAATACGTGGACACGCAGGAGCAGATGCTGCTACTGTGTAAATTGGAAAAATAAATTGATCAGTCGGATTAAACAACTTTTTTACAGGTCATCATGCCAGATTTTGTTAGTTTTTTTCTTTTTTTACGTATTTGCGAGGAGGTGCGGACGAGGAATCTTCTAATCGGATCAGATTTATTTTGAAACACTGATTTACTTTCCTGTCACATATTGACCACGGGAGGAGTTGTGGATACTTTTTCTTATTTGCTGAGCCTTGTTCTGCTTCTTTCATCTCGTGAATGTGGATCAACAATCTTCTTAACTCTGGAAGAGCTGAATCCTCCTTCATTACAAAAATAAGGGGGGAAGAAGATTCAATAAGAGTTGGATTTGTGGAGGTCGGCTGGAGAGAATTGTTATTTGTTTGTTTGGAATGTTGAATTGGAGGAGGAGAGGCCAGGCCAGGAGCAGATTACAGACGTGAAGTGATTTGTTGTTGAGAAGGAAGTAAACTTATATTCGTCGGACAAATGAGGCAGAAACTGACCTACTCCTCGATTGAATCCATTCAATTCAATTGGCTTCATAGGAATTCTCTCGAGAAGCTGCCTTCAAATTCATTCCTGTCGCAACAAGAACAAATTGCCTTTATGTTTCTAGTCTCCGTTCGTAAGGTTCGTAATTCTTAATATTTCCGGAGCCCTGTAGTAGAAAAGAATTCAATCTGCGAAGACGAGGGCTGTTAAGTTGTGTGTATCCTGCCGCAAGGCAATTGACTTCTTCTGGATCATTTACTTTTGAATTGCTAGGAAGGCACTTAGCCAAATTTGAAACGCAGACCCCACCATTTCCTACGTATCAAGACATTCCGCCACATTCCCAAGAAATGGCAGGTGTTGCAAAGTACACGGTTTTATTGCGAGCATGTACCACTTGTAAGCTTATTGAAAATTGTGGCAGCAGCAAGTGCGTGGAAATAAGTTGTTGAAGTCGTGGCGAAATAAACGCTAAATGTAAAATTGAATGTTGCTGTTGCATGAGTAAAGCATCATATTTGTACTTTCACCGTCCTCGTTTCTCATGTGTCGATTAGCATTATTCGAACCTCCAGTGCAATGCATGTTTCGACCCGGTTAAACAAATAGATTGCGAGAAACTGTTGAAATTAGTTGGAAATGATCTCTATTTACACGAGGGCGACGTTGTGGTCGTGGTGGTGAGAAGGGCGTACGTGTGAAATGCCGATAAGACAACTCTCCACAGAGAATTAAGGGGCAGACTGTTTTCCCAACAAAGTTTTAGTGCTGACAGATAGACGGAAAGTCCGTCAGATCTCCATTCAAATCCGGGAGAAAATCCTTAAGGCTCATCTATCAATTTGCTGCTCTTCTCTCTCTCTCCAACCGACCGACCCACCGATGTGCAATCATCTACTCAAGTTGTCAGCATGTTTTTCATTAGGTGCTCCTTCTCTGTGGGTGAAAGTTCCTGATGAGCTCCTACATACATCCAGGTCTTGCTTGGTTGGTTGGTGCGTAGGTCGGCGAAATTTTGCCCAGCGTCCGAGTCCATTTTTTCGTCCAGGGCAGGATTCGACACACTTTTTTTGTGTACAACATGTGCGCTCCGTCCTCCTCAGTTTTGCGCTTAATTACCCAATCCAAGGAATAATTCGGTCCGTAGTGCAATTAATATTTTGCTTCAAAGCTGATCTATAAGGGAAGGTAAGGGAATGAATGAAAAAAGTCGTGAGAAAGTTGTTCCTAAAAACTTTCTTGTTTTGTTTTTCGTCCAAATTCAAAGGTCGATTGAGACAAAACACAACATGACATATTGTGCGCCTTGATATGGAACGAGACCTAACTGCTTAGAAAATATTTCAATCCCACGTGCTGGTCAAATTGATTGGATAAGCTGAGTTTATTTTAATCTGATTCAAACCAAAATCTGGACGATTCTTTCCATGCAGGACAAACTTTCTTGCTTCTTTCAGGACCTACAGGCAGGCTATTTATGTCCACTCGTAAACCCTTTTGGTTTTAGTTCTCGTGTAAAACAGATTTTTTTGTATCCTTTCATGCGTACTCACAATTTATTCCGTTTCATTCATGACTCTAAAAACAAATGCACAGAGGTAGACGAGACTTGAGATGAATTTAAAGTTTTGATCCATGTGTAAATCTACCAAGTGGGTCCACCGTAGGGAACTTGTCTTCTTACCGTAAAAACCAAAGCCAAAGAGGTTCTCTTTAATCAAATAGAATCCTGTAAATAAATAAATGTTAATGAGAGGAGGAGAAAGAATGGGCTCTTTTCATGGAGCAGTATGACTAGAAAATGGTGGTGGTCATAGGGGTTTGAGCAATAAGGGAGGATTCTGTTCCGGAATTAGACATCTTTAGAAATCCTTTTCTCACGGATTCGCATTTTTTTCCAGGTTCTCACACTCTTTCTCTCGTACAAAAATTGTCTAAAGTGACCCACGAAAAAATAGACTTTCGCTGAATATCACGTAATATGGCTCAATTTTTACACCACTTAATCAATCCTTATTTATTTATACCGTGGGCCAGGATTCATTGCATTGGCAGCGTAAATAACTTTTCTAAACGACTTTGTCACCAAAACTATTCCATCTTTTATAATATGACGAACTATGTACGAATCTAGTTCTGGTCTGATTAGGATTAGTCGAGGGCTTTAATGCCAAATACACAGATAAATATGGGTACCAATAAAGTTCAGATTACTGCAAAATCATTGCTGGCATTTTGATGAGGCTGCTCCGGAATAATACGACTTGTTGCTTCTTTCTTGCACTTTAAAGTGCGTAAATTTGTCGAATGCTTTCAGGTTATATAAATTTTATCCCTGCATGTAATCCAATCCTCTCGGTTACACAAGCATCATCTGATTTCCGACACCTTTAAAAACAAGCAGTCTAGACACTTTGGCCTGCAATTCTTTCTCACTCGCAGTTCAAATTCCTTTTGTTCTAAATTTGTAACACTTGGTGGTGGTGGTGTTTCACTTTTTGTTACTCGATCCTCCATTACTGCACATATGTACTTATCATGGGATATCTACCTTCCTCTAAAGTTCTCTCCTCACTCTAATGATGTTTCGCATCTTGTTTGGAAGATTAATGGTGGAGGAATCACGTTTTTCCTTCCTTTGGTGTTTTACTACTAATATCAACTTATCGCATTCCGAAATCGAGGAAGGGTGCCTTACAAGCTCAAAATGCTTTTATTACCCTTTTCCATACCTATGTATTTCTTTCTTACCTTTGTAGTAGTCTGACTGATGGCAATCCATAAACACGTACTGATTCTGTATTGAGCGTAATAATCCTGGAAAATGTACGGGGGAGAAATCCATCACCCAAAATACCGACATTCTTTGTCCCGCACACATTTTTTTAAAGTCTTCACACACCAACTTGAAACCTCTCATGTGAACCATATCATTGAG